CTGCTGGGGGCAGACTCCAGCAGAGGACAGGACCTGCAGTGAGGAGCTGGCTGGTGGCAGGCGAGGTCGGTGTCCTGCTGGCTCCCAGGATGCTGCGGATATCCCAACACCCGACAGCAGCGGGATGGTGCTGGGGGCACAGCTGGGGGCACAGCTGGGGGCACAGCTGGGGGCACAGCTGGCTGCCAGGGCCAGCAGTGCTGGGCAGCGACTCCACCTTCTCCCAAGAGATCAGCACCTCAGGCTCCCAGCTCGCTGGGAAGCACAGCCATTGAAATGGGGATCAGTCATGAATTTTGTAAGAGTATATTTGGAGTTGGGAGCAAAAATCTGAAACACCGTTTGTTTTACAGAAACGTGGCTATGGTAAATAAAAATCACAATAATAATTTATTTCCTAAGAAGACACGAAAGCCTTGGATTCTCTGTTGTGTACTAAAAATATATTTTTTAAAACAAATATAAATAAATGTATAAAAATCCACCGTAAATGACAGAATTTAAGTGCTGGCAGTGTTGTGTTACGATATGGAGCAAGCAAGACTGAGTCTTTAATTTACAGATTACATGAAATATTAGTATTTTTGAATCACCTTCAAAATGTTTTAATTCCTCGGATGATGTAAGATCAGAAAACCTGATGTCTTTTTGTTTGTTTGTTTTCCCCCATAGGATTTTGCACAGAGCTCAGGCCAAATGGAAAATCAGTTATCTCAGCAGAGGGGTACGTTCCCTGCAGTGTAACAGAGTAACAACTGGGTAACAAAACGTGTGGATATGGTGATTAATCACTGAAAATAAATACAGTAAATTGCAGCAGGATTTTACAGTTTGGGAGTGGGCTCCCTGGCTTTCATCCTGACCCACACATACACAGAGGTGTCTTCCAGTCTGCTGCTCGTCTATCAGGGATTCAGACTGTTAATCTTTATTCAATGCTATGTGGTATCGTGTCTTAAAATGTGATACTGTACCTGCACATGTTTAATTAGCTGACACAAAGGCTGCCTTCAAAAGTTTTAGGTTGCAGAAGCTACGCAGCCGTGCCAATACACCCAGGGAGCCAAAAATCTCTAAAATGCTGTCCTGTAATTGTCCTTTAAAGTTTGTCAGTTTGCACAAGAGCCGTGGTTTTATTCCCCCTCGGTTATTATAAATATTACTTTAAATGCAGTCAACCTTTTTAGGCTAAACATTTGAAAGATTCTCAGCTGAGATGGCTGTTACTTGCTAAACACATCTGAAATTCAAGTGTTTATAGGCATCTGGTCTTGAGTAGCCGTATTGTGCATAAAATGCAGTGCTGGGACAGTCATTTCTCTCTCATAACGAGCAGAAATGCACCACCATTTCCTCAGCATTTGCCAGGAGATGAGTGGTTCTAGGTCTAAAGCATAAAGTTTTTGTTTAAATATAAATCATAAAATTAAGGTAACTTTATGGAGATTTTTACTGTCAACATCAGACATCTCAGTTTGAAGCATTCTCATGCAGTATGTGCAGCACCAACTTTCCCGGATTGTGTTTGCATGAGAATCTACTCGAGAAACATCTAAAATCCAAGTGGAAAACTTGCTTTTTATTTTCACTATTCAAACCGGAGGAACTTTTAAACAAAGATGTGGTAGCATGTGAGTGTGATTTCTAAACACTCTCCAGTTGTGCTAAAGTTGACTTAATAGTAGTGTAGGCAGGATTTTTTTATCTCTTGTATTACTTGAATGTGAAGGATGGTGTCCCCAAAAACAAATGGGAGTAACAACACTGACAGGAATAAAACCTGAAAGCACAAATTTCATACTTGGGTGCTACATGGAGGGTCAGACCCTCAAACCTGTTCACAGTGAAGTCGTGGCCACGTCACTGCACGCTCCTGGCAGTGAAAGCTGCGTTTGTGCTCATGCTCTGAGCTCTGGAGAGTCGGGAGCACAACTCTTCTGCAGCCCTTTGTGGTAAAAAAAAGAAACTGCTGAGCAGAAAACGCCACTGAGGCTGCCCAGGGTAGAACGGGGCTGAGCTGGTCCCCGGTGGGTCCAAGAACATAAAGTGTATAATGTTATACACTTCCTATATAAAGAATATAGTGTATAAAGATGTGTAATGTTCCTGTGCATGGGGCAGAGAGCCTGATCAGCTCTCACATGGAACGAAGCCTTTGCTCGGCAGAGCCTCTGCCCCCCCATTCTTAAAGCCGAGCGTAAATGTCCCGAGCTCCACACAAGTGTCACCCCATGGTCTGAGAAGATTTGCATAGGGGGAGGGGAGTAAATTACCTAAAAAATTGGCTGCACATTCACTATTCTTGTTTTATTGCCGTCTTATCTTAAGGGGGAATAACTTGGTAATTTTGTGTTTTGTCTTCAACAGAAAAATTTTTCAGTTCTCAAGATTATCTTGAGCTCTCCAACAGATTCCCCCGGCAGTCCTGGGAAGAAGCTCGACAGTTCTTCTTGAAGAAATGAGAGTTGTATTTAGTTTTTAAATCCCTAACACCATCACACTGACCAGTTCCTGCTGACTACCTTCTTTAAAACGCTGTTCCAAAACGTTTTTGATACTCTAAACACTTATGCTGTAGATACATAATTTGCACTATTTATATAAGTCCTGTAGATACGTCCAAGTTCTGTTTTGTAATTTTGATAATTTGAGTTTGTTTCGTTCTTGTATCCAATGTCATGATTTTGCTGTTTTCTGCCCTGTGGTGGGATTTGCACTGGCAGAACTGCTGAAATAAGGTTGCAAATAGAGAAAATATGTTCTATATATCTTGTAATAAAATAACTTATTCTGTCTTGTGTCATTTCTGTGTTAAAATCATCAGTATGTTTGAATCACCATAAGCAACACAGTTTAGAAAGAGAGGAAAAAAACACTCATAAGACGTCTCTCTCTTAATCAAGAGTCAATCAGAATCAAATCAAAGTAATTCGTCAGATCTGGCCCTGGGGGAAGTTTGCTTATAATTTTTTGGGTGATTGAGGATACGTCAGCTAAGGCAGATTTTGTATCCCTCATGCATTTTTAAGGTCTCGGCCGCAGCTCGCGGTGCTGCCCGCGCTGAGCGCTCCGTGTCCGGCCCGGGGCCGCTTCCCGCGCGCGGCCGCGCTGAGGGGGCGCGCGGCGCCCGGGCCCTGAGGTGCGGCGGAGCCGCGGCGGATCCCGCGGGCACCGGGACCGCCACCCGGGCAGCGACCGGGACCGCGACCGGTGCGGGAGCAGGGACCGGCACCGCGACCGGCACCGGAACTGTCCCTTCTTGGCGGCCCCAGGCCGCGGCCCCCGCGCCGCCCGGCCCGGCCCGGCCCGGTCGGGCCTGAGGCGGCGGCGGCGGTCCTGAGGCGAGGCCGCGCGCCTCGCTCCACTCCAGCCCCGGGAGAATGCGCGGAGCTCCAGCCCGACCCGGACGAAGTCAGGTAACCGCGGGGCCCCGCGACGGGGCTGGGAGGGCGGCAAGATCCCCATCCCCACCTGTCCCCAGCCGGGAGATTGCCCGTCACGGTGCAGAGGAGCCCCGGGATGAGGCGGCCCCGCAGCCCGGGCCGCTCCGTGCGCCCCGACGGCAGCTCCCTCTGGGAACCCGGTCCTTGCACACTCGCTCCGCGTGTCGAGCTGGTGGAGCCACCCCTGCGCCGCGCTGCCCATCCCTTGCAGCTCGGAGGGCTCCAGCAGGGCCCGGCTCTCCCCCAGTTCCCCGGGTGCCCGGGGATGGGGACGGGGGCGCGGCTCGCCGAGCCTTGAGCTTGGCCGGGCCTGCGGTGCCGCGGGGAGCTGGTGCTGAGCAGTCCCGCGCGGTAAGGGGGAGGGCGCGGGAGCTGGAGCGGCCCCGGTGATGCCAGAGGCAGATAAGGAAGGAGTCGCCGCCTGGGTCTGCCTGGGGGGATGGATACGCGGGAGGGTAGGGCTCGCCTCGCCTCGCCTCGCCTCGCCGCCCCGGGGAGCCCCTCTCCGCCCAGCCCCGCGGCCCCCCCGGAGGAGCCGAGGCGGCCTCGCACCGCGGCAGGTGCGGGCACGACCGGGCGAGCCTGGGGGCTACTCCGAAAGGGAAACCTGCGCTCCGCCTCCCCGGCTATAAATAAGCGGCCCCGGTTCTGAAAGCCGATTAGCGCGGTGCGGCGGGGCCGTGCGGGAGAAGCCGGTGCTGTGCCCGTCCCGACCCGCTCTGTTCCGCTCCCCATCCGTATGGCCGCGCCGCTCCGCGCCTGCCGTGCCCCTTCGCCGCCCTTCCGCAACTTTTTTCAGTTCGTTTTGGTTTTTTTCGTTTCAATCCATTTTTTGTTTTCTTTTTTTTTTTTTTATTAAGTCCAAAATATTTAATCCCACTATTCAACCGCTGACTCTGACAATAAATAACAATAACTTACTTTTGATCGTTAAAGGCGCAAACAATCCGTCCTTCGTCCATTGATAACTTAACATTATTAGTACTGGTTTTCCCGTTAAAAAGTCTCGTTTCCGTGTCCCGTTTTTCCAGCGATCGTGCGGGGCCGGGCACCGCGGCCCGGGAGAGGCATCGGTGTGAGATGAGGCTGGACGGCGCGGCTCCGCGGAGGGAGGTCCAGGCCGTCTCCGCGGCCGCACGCCGGAGGAGTCTCTCCCCCCTTTTGTAGTTTTTTTTTTTTTAATTATTATTTGTTTTCCCCTTTCAAAAAGGGAAGAAAAACCGTCCCCAGGGCAAGCGGCGGGCGAGGCAGCCTGTCACCGTGCCGGGCTTCGGCAGGGAAATCCGCCTTTTGGGGAAAAGAAACATCGAAATCCGCAGGGAAAAAAAACAAAACCACGAAATAACCAGGGCGGGGGCTCTCTCTCCGGTCTAGTGAAGGCAGCGAGGATCCCGGTGCTTTTTTGGCCGTCAGTAACATTTTTTTTGTTTGTTTTTAAATAAGAATAATTAAAAAACAAAGGCGTTTGTCCGGCGCTCTGGGAGCGGCCCGGGGCCGGGTGTCTCATGCAGGGAGCGCAGGCATGCGGAGGTCCCGCGGCGGGGCAGAACGGCCGCTTCACGTCTCGGCCGGGCTGGGTACCATGCTGTTGGGGGTGTCGGGGAGCTGGGACGACAGCGAGGTCACGTCGCTGCCGGAGGATGTGCCCAAGGAGCCGGACTCGGAGAAGGAGACCTGGGGGAGCAGCGGCGGTGAGGGCCCGGCGCGGTCGCCCCCTGCCCCGTCCCCCTCCCGCAGCGCCCGGGCCCGGCGGGCTGGGATCTGCCCGTCCCCTGCGGCCCGACGGACGGCCCGGCTCGGCTCACCAGCTGCTGGAAGGCGGCGGGCTGCTCCAGGTCGCTCTGCAGGGCGAACTCGCTGAGCGCCTTCCAGGGCGGCTGGTAGGTCTGGACCTCCACGGCGCTGCCCTGCACGGCGCTCTCGTGGCGGATGGGGCTGCCGGCCACCAGCGGCGTCCCCGTGAGGCCCTGCAGGCTCTGCGGGCACACGGGGATTCAGCGAGACTGCGGCCCGAGCCCGCGGGCCCGAGCCCCCCACCCACACCTCCCTAGCCGGCGGGGAGGGCGGGCACTCACCGTCTTGTCGCTGTGCTGCTGCTGCTGGAGCTGCTTCATGAGGATGGACTTTTTCTTGTCCTTGCAGCGCTTGTTCTGGAACCAGACGCGGATGACGCGGGGACTGAGCCCCGTCATTTCCACGAGCTGCTCCTTCATCAGGGCGTCGGGGCGCGGGTTGGCGGCGTAGCAGGTCCGCAGCGTGTGCAGCTGCTTCTCGTTCAGCACCGTCCGCACGCGGGTGGTCTTCTCGGCCGCCTTGTGCGCCGGCGGCCGCGGGGCGGGCGGCCGCCCGGGCACCGGCTCTGCGACGGGCGGGGAGGGCGCGCACCGTCAGCGCCGCCGCCCGCTCGCCCGCCGCAGCACCCCCGACACCCTCCCCGCCCCGCCGCCCGCCCCGCCGCGGAGCCGGTACCTGCGAGGTGCGCAGCGGCGGCCGGCGGCAGCGCGGGGCTGCGCGCTCCGCGGGCGGCGGCGCCGTCGGGGACCGGCCCGTGGTCGGCGCGGCAGAGCAGGTCGCGCTCCCGCAGGCAGAACTGGTCTCCGGGCAGGAGCTGGCGGCCGCAGGCGGCGCAGCGGAAGCACTCCAGGTGATAGACGTGGTCGCGGGCGCGCATCACCAGGTCGCTGCTGCTGAACGCCGCCCGGCACTGGGCGCACTTGATGCCGAAGAGCCTGCGGGGACGCGACGAGCCGTCAGGGCGGCTCCAGGCGGTGCCGCGGGGGCGGGCAGCGGCCGAGAGTCGGGTTTTCGTTGGGGGAAATTCGGGGGGCTTAAGGGGTTTTTGTGCTTTTTCGGGGCTGGGTTATTTTTTTTTTCTAACGAGCGTTGGCGCATTCGGGGTCACCTGCTGTAATCCCGTTTGCAGTAGGCCTTGCCGTCGCGCAGGAAGCATGTGCAGGTCTCGTCCAGGGGCTGCCCGCACTCGGCGCACTTGAGGCAGGCGACGTGCCACTCCAGGTCCGGCGACACCCGCAGCAGGAAGGGGTCCTGGATGCGGCCCCCGCAGCCCGCGCACAGGGCCAGCCCCGGCCGCCCTGCCGGGAGCGAGCGGGGTACGGTCAGAGCCAGCAATGAGCCAGAACAGAGGCCAGCAATTAGGGAAAGGCACTTTTTCTTTTGTACACTTCATCCTTTTTTCTTACTCTGATTTGTTTTGTTTTTTTTTCCAAAATAGGAAGAAAGAGAAATAAAGACCGACACAAGCACAGAAAGGATGGAAACACTAAAGGAGACAAATTAATACGGCCAGGGGAAAAAAAAAAGGAAAATAAAAAGAAAGGAAAAAAAGAAACTTGATCAAGGCAAATAAATGCAGAAAGACAGAGACTTAAAAGTAGAATTTCAGAAAGGGAAAATAAAAGCAGAAACATAAAAACAATAAAACAACGGCTGAGGAAAACTTGAAAGAAATAAGGAAAGAAACAAAGAAAGAAGGAAGAAAAGAAAGAAGGAAAATGAAATTAAAACAGGATGACGAAAAGAGATATAAAAGCATCCAAAACCCAGACTGTTAAAATGGGGACATGGAGAAATGGAAACAGTGAGAGACATGGAATGAAAGAGATAGAAAGAGAAATAAAACAAGAACAGAAAGAAAATGAAATTTAAAAACAAACAAACAAACGAAAGAGAAATTTTTAAAAAGACAAACTGAAACACAAAAGAGATAAAGAAAGAAAAACGGTAACATGGGCAAAGAAAGAAAGAAAGGAAGAGCAGAGGGAAGCAAAGAAATGGAAACAGCCGAAAGAAATGAGCTCAGCGGCAGGGACAGCAGAAAGGACATGCATTCGGTAAGGAATGGGGCCAGCGGGGCCGGGAAGCGCTGGGCACGAACGGGAATAGCAGCACCGGAGTTGCCACGGGCCGAACCCGCAGCCGCCCGCGCCCGCCGTGGGGCCGCAGCCCTTCCCGGCGCTGTCAGCGCGCCCGCGGTCCGCCCGTGCACCCGACGGCAGAGGCGGCGCGGAGCTCGACCCGCAGGGTCCCGCGCACGCCCGCCCGCCCCGGCCCCGCGTTCCGCTGCGCTGCGCGCACTTACTCTTGGAGGGCTCCCCCATGGCGCCCGGGAGCGGCCGCGGGAGGAGGATGTCCACCATGCGGGCGGCCCCCTGCGCACCGGCAGCGATGCGGGATGCGGAGCCGCCGCTCCACCACTACCCGCGCGGCGCGGGGCGGGGGCCGCGCCCGCCCCCCCGGGCCCGCCCCGCCGGGCCGCGCCGTGATGTCAGCGCGCAGCGGCGCTGACCTCACCGCGCGGCCCCCGGAGGCGATTGGCGGCCGCGGGGAGAGCCCGCGGATTGGCGCTGCCGAACAATGGGCGCGGAGAGGGGCGCACGCCCCGCGGGACCCGGCCCGGAGTCGCACGACGCCGGCACTGACGGGGCGCGCGGCCCCGTTCCCCGCGGGACCGGCTCCTCCGCGCCCTGCGCTCCTCGCGGCCGCGGGACCCTCCGGCCCGCCCGCCGCCGTGCGCCTCGGCCCTGTGCGCACAGGGAACGGCGGCGTCGGCAGCCCGAGGAGAGGGAGATTCATTGTAGCCGGTTTTCCTCCTCTCTTTTCCCTGTCATTCTTCTGGAGTTTTAGTTCGCCTATTATTTTCTCTATTTATTTCCCCCTTCCTTCTCTTTCTCGTCTCTTTTGCGTTTTATTTCGTTGTTCTTTTCCCCGCGTTTCGGCGCGCCGCTGGCAGGTGCCCGCGGGCGGGCGCGGCGGGACAGTCCCGGCGCTGCGCAGCGAGCGTCTCTGCGGCACACGGGAGGGGGCTGCGCGGCGGACACCGGCTCGACGCTGCGCACCCGCGGAGCAGTTCCCTGCCGAGGCTCGTGTGCGGGAGAGCCGCCCCAACGGACCCCAACAGAACGACCGCAGCGTCGGGGCGGCCGTCCTGGGCAGCAGCCCCGCGACGAGTTGAAATTAGCGGAGAAAAATAGTATTTTACCGCATTTTCATGCACCTGATTCCGTGATGTTTCCGCAGCTGAACATCTCCTTTTGCTTTTTTATCCTTCTGTTCTTTTTTCTTCCCTCTTTCCCTCCAGTCTCTATGGGCTTCCCGTGCATTAGCAGAAAAATAGGGAAAGCACTTTAGTGGCCTTTGACTCAGTGTTAAATTCCCCAAGACTTTGCGGCATAGCAGCACGAGTACCTCATAAGGTCCAGGGAAGCTTATATATGCTGGAATTGAGACTGCCGCTGTCTTGGGGCTTTGGTCCTTCTCCTCCATGCAGTTGCCTTTTTAATTTTACACATGGAATTTGACAGGCATTTGCCAACCTGTATGGCTTGGGAATGGCACGGTGACTTTAGATGTTGGCTCAGGAAGGGCAGGCTGCGCTCATTTTTCTCAGAGGAGAGGGGCGGGATGGGTTTTCCAGCTGAAGCACTTGTCTTTTGTGCGAGTCAGGCACCCTGCAGGTATGAAACCCCAGAAGCCGGGGAGGGGGGAGAGAACCCTTTGGATAAAGTGCTTCACTATTTGACCTGCTCTCCTAGCCTGACCACATCTCCTGCTACCCCTTTGAGGACCCCAAATGTTGAAAGCAAGCTTTTACATTCGTACAATAGCTGCGGGGGAAAGAAGGATGGATTGCATTTGAAGCACCCGCTTCAGCAGGGACGCATGTCACCAAGGGATTTCGGTATCCCTGCCTGCCCCTGCATGTGCCAAGGTGCAGAGGCGCGGTGCAGCAGTGACATCCTCAGGGCAGGGTGAGCTCCCTGCCTGTGTGGCGCCTGCTGGGGGTTGCGGTCTGACTGCTGCCTGCAGCTAGCATGGCTCGCTTGCCGGTGGCAGAGCTGGGTGGTGGGTGAGAGGTATGAAGACAATTGGCAGAGTTTGGTTGGTTCTTCAAACTGAAGTGACCCTGAGGGATGGGTGATGGGAACCTCTGCAGCACTGTGGGGCAGCACAGGTCCACGCCCAGGCACCTGGCAGAAAAGAGGGTACAGAAGGGTGATTTCAGCCTGAGCCAGAATTTGGAGTCCTGGGTGAGTCAGTATCTGCATGTGTTAACAATAAAATGCAAAAATGTCAGAGTGATAGGAGAATGAGACATGTCTAAGAATACAGCAGCTTGGCAGGGATGCTCTGTGTTGCATCACCCTTTTCCCACTCAAGGGCAGGATCCTTTCTGCTCTCCCAAACCTCCCACCAGTTTAGGAAGTAGTTAAGATACAGCTGAGCCAAACAAACTTTGCCAAACCTATGCAAAGCTGTGCTGCAGTCACACCTGTACCCAAACAGAGCAATGTGCTCACACCAGGCAGGTATGGTTGGACTGGACTCACTTCACAACCAGGCAGGTAGGAATAGGGTAGGCAGTGCTGCACAGGCAGTTTAGTAGGAAAGCCCAAAAAATTATTTGCCAGGGAAATGTTGAAAGCCCTGTACCTCCTCTGTGTGACATACAAAGAGCTTTGAAATGACTACAGGTAATGCCTGGCACTGAACTAGCTCAATACCACATGCTTTACAAACAGGTTAATTGTTGGTTCATCTGAGGGATGGTAAGGGAAAGCACATCATAAAATCACAGAATAATTCAGTCCAGGGGGCACCTCTGGAATACTGCCTTCAGGTAACTTGGAACTGCTGGAAGCATTTTCTAGTCAAAGCCAAATGCAATCTCTCATGCCACACTGATTACTCCTTGCTCTCCTCCACCCAGGGTCCAGAGATTCCAATCTCTATTGCAGCAGTTCGGGTTGGGTTTGGTGTGAGAGCTGGCAGGGGCTGCCTGGCCACGGGGTGAGGCTGGCTAAGGGTACTTCTGCTCTCTACAGAGCAACTCTGGGGTTTGCTCCCAAATACAAATACAAGTTCCCTCTAGAAGGGGGAAATGGTAACTTTTTTGTGTGTTTGCAGCAGATTGCAAAGGCAGTAAACGCTGATTCTTTCAGAGCCAGCCATGGATTAAGTCCATTATAAAATTAAAACAGATGGAACGCAATTTCACTTACATTACAAAAAAGGACAGGAACCATCTGCAATAAGATTTAGCATTGCAAAGCTATTGTTATCATGTTACCATTAAAACCTTTGATGAAGCATTTTCTTTCCTTCACAAATTTGTTCACATGAAACAAATGTATTTATCCATCTTCCTAAGACAGTCATATTTTATTAAAAAGATGACGTCTCTCAAAAAAACTCTCTTGGTCCTAGCAGAATATGGCAAAACAAAGAAATGTTGTAAAACTCCAACACTGAGACACTGGGAGCTTCAGTGGGGCAGATGTAGCAAAATGAGAATTCCCCATCCATTTTTCCTCTAAAAAACATTTCCTTGTGTTTGGGCACAATGTCTGATACTGAAAATAGATAATTAATGAGATAATGGGATACTGCATGTCACCTCCTGTCCAATGGGATTATCTGATGGCTAATTATGGACAGATTGTGATTAATGTGATTATGGATTGGATATTAATCTGATTCTGGATTGATCTAGTTATGTTTTAGTCTGCTCCAAATGGTTAATTGGATCTGAGATAATAGAAATGCAGCTTGCACCAGATTTTGCCACATCAGTTGATGAAGTATCTTTTGATCTGGGTGGGTTGCGAACAATAAATTATTTACAGCTGTTGAGAAAATGACTCTTCCTTAGAATGTAGTCATTCATTTTATTTTCGAGAGCCTTTGAAAACAAAATCAATATCCTTTCTAAAAGGAGATGTTGACAAAAGAAAGGCACGTACATAACTCACAAACAAATGTGACGAAATTAAACAGTGGTTAACCCGGTGGCCTAATGTCTGGTGATGCATTTGAATTGCTATGTGGAGCTTTGGGCTCAATTCTTCTGAGACCAGCAGGGGTTGGGAGCATTGCAGGGGAACAGGGCCCTGCGCTGGGGAAAGTGGTGTTGCACAACAGCTACTGCCAGCCCTGCTAGTGATTAAGAATCAGCCATGGTAACATGGCAAAGGGAGCCCTTGCCATTTTCCCCCTCCGGATAAGAAGGGCTCAGAAAGTTCATGAGTGCAGAAAAGACTTACTGGCCCATCTCCTCTGGTCTCCTTCATACCAGACCATGCAATTGGACGCAGAATTATTATTTTTTCCCCTCACAATGAGCCTGTTAATTTATGGTTGACCTCAGTCATCTCTCCCAGAGATCTGGTCTTGATGTCTCCTGCCAGTGCAGGAGAGGCTGCCTTGCTCTTGAACCCTGCTTGTAAACTACTTTCACTGGAATGGACATCTAAGTATAGAGTTTAGGTTCAACCCCCAGACACTGGATCTCGTTATGCCATTATCTGCAGGATTAAAGGCAATGGGTAAATTGCAGACTTTGTAGACTTCATCTTAGACATTGTGACAGGGCAAGCAGGAGGTACATTAGCCTTTGTCACCAGGTGCTGTAAGTGGCAGGTAACTTCACCAGAAGGTTGTCCTCCCTTGTGGGCTCTGCAATAAAAATATCAAAAATCAAACAGGTCCCAAAACACTGAAAACAAGGCCTACTTCAGCTGCTGTGCTTACACAAAAGTGCTATCGACTGAGCTGAAACAGAAAGAAAAAAGGGAAAAGCAACTTTCCTTGAAAAGTCCTTAGAGGCATGGAAAGAGCTGCTCCCCTGGAGTGACTGTCCCTGCTGCTGCAGGAATGGCTCAGGCTGGTGTGAGTGGCATCTGGATTCCTTTCCAGCAGTGTAATGGGCAAAAAAAGCACAGCTATCCCTTTAAAAAATAATGCTGGTTCAACCTGCCAGAGAATTTGACACACATCTGCCATTAAGGACAAGGAGAGCTGCGTGCAGGAGGATTGGCAGGTCACAAAACCACACCCAGGTGTCTGCACTGGGAGGGCAGCAGAGCTCTTCTCACCAGCACTGTTTTCCTTGTCCTCCACAAACCACCATCACTCCTGGGCAGGACAAGTTGCCTTCCAAGGTAACCTTAGCCTTTGCTTTTAGGAGGTTACAAGGGTTCCATTTTGCCCTGGGCTTGGTAGAAAGGGTTTCTTGAACTCCTCAGGTGATGTTTTTAGGAATATGCAGCAAGTGTGATGTTACTCCCAGGTTCTCTTGTTACTTGACTGGCACATGGAAATTATTAGCAAGAGAGAGCAGTTTATAAAAAAGAGAAAATAC